GTATCCTACATCCATGGCCACGATCAAGATCATCCAACTTATTGTGTATTTTAAACTGGCCCTAGTTCTTACAACTTATTATGTATTTTAAACCGGCCCTAGTTCTTTATTGTTTATCAAGTATACGGTGCATATTAAAGGCAAAAAAAATTATGTATTTTGTCAAAATCGTTGATTCAAACCACTTGAACTAAATTGTGACACTAAGACTTGAACACAAGAGACTATGGTCGGTGACCAATGATCACTCCAACGATTTATTGAAGTGATAGTTGGTTTTCCATCCTTAGTCCTAGTTGTTGTTGTCAGCTACAAGTTCTTTTCGCTAGTCACTAGAAGTCAATGGTGGTGAAAGTAGTCATTGATGACCATTGGCAGTCAGTGATGGTTGGAGGTGGTTGCTAGCTTTTGGGCATTGGCAGTCAACAATGGTGAGTGGTAGTTGTTAGTCCGGTGGATGGGCATTAATGGCTAAATGTGGTGAGTTTTTGAGAAGTAAAGATATAGAGATTTGGGTTAATAAGTTAGTGATATAAACTAAGAGACATCAATCATATAATATGTTTCCATGAAGATGCGAAGAAAATATTGTTAAAATTATTAAAATATATTTCAATTCATGCCATATTGAAGAAGAATGAAGTTTCATGTTATAAATTTTGGGTGGATTATAATTTAGAGTTATTGTATTCCATTAACGTATTTTAAGGCTTTTTATTTACTTCAGGTTACAATTACATAATGGTTAATTATGGGCATTAAGTATAAATGTTATAACTCTTTGAATCCCTTTAATAGTTCATTTTGAGTCTATATAAAACTATGTATGTTGTATTTGTAAGTAGACTTGAAAAATATAGTAAAAGAAGTATTTGTGCTCTTCTTTAGCCAATGACTAAGTTTCTTTGCAATTCTATGTAGTTTAGGTTGCATGTAGAATTATTCAAGCTCGACATGATCAAAATCTTGCTTGTGAAGTGATTCGAATCTCAATCAAGTATTCTTATCTTGAGATATTTGATCAACAAAAATCATTCAAGCTAGACATGATCAATCTTGCTTGTGGAGTGATTCGAATCTCAAACAATGTTCTTGTCTTGAGATATTCGATCAACAAGATAATCTGAATCTTACTCCTCTTGTAGTGATTCCTTATCTTGTCAGAATATTTTAAAAAAATTTATAATGAAAATGTGAGAGAGTTTACTCTTACACTAAAAAAAAATCCTTTTTCTATAGAAGTGTTTCCTTCAAAAATGAATTTTTTTTCTTCTCAAATTCATTTTTGAAAATCCATCTCTTGTTTTTGTTTTTTTTTTCCCTCAATTCCTTACCCTCTTTTATTCTGTTATTTTTCGTTTGGAATACATTTTTTTTTTTTTTTACTTCTTTTACTTTATTTTTTTTTTATCACCTCGGCATGATTTTATTTATATATATTGAATGTTTTGCTCGTTATTTTTTATTACTTATTTTTATCTGTCAATTTCGGAGCTTTAAAATGGTTCATAAGCCTATCAGGAGAAGAGATGATAAATGATAATAAATTAAAATATTTGTGTTTTATATGGGGAGTGAGATAAATTTATTATATTTAATATTTTTAATATAACATGTATACTTATCTTTTCAATTTGGTAAAAATTTATTTAATTTTATAATTTTTTTTTATTAAATTTGATTATATGTGATATAGGTTAAGCACTAAATAGTCTTGAAATTTTAATAATCTGACTTAATAAAAATAAAATATATTAATTATCTAAAATTAAATAACATAACAATTAACAATATTTTATTTATACGAAATTCTTTCTCTCATACAAGACTAAACACAATTATTTGATTTATTTAGATATTATTTTTATATTCTTTTCGGGCACTATAAATAATATTTTCAACCAAAGCATTCAAGATAAATAAAGTAAAAGATCCTCATGCTTTTGATAGAAACATTATCTCATCCTCGAAAGTAAAGTAAGAATGAAAGAGCCAATGAAACATTAGAAATCAACATCCAACACGATCATAAAACAATATACGTGGGACAAAATGTGAAGCTGGCGAAAAGAGAGAGAAGAAAATCTTAAACACAACAATAATATCTATATCCAAATAAGAAACATCCAACATGACTGAAGGAATCATCAGCTACACTAATCTCCCTAAAGGACTGGACTGGTCACACAACAGAGACCAGAGAAATTAAAAAAACTTAAAACTGAGAATCTTAAAAGTTTTATTATAAATTTAGTCACTAACACTTACATATCAATACAAAAGTAAAATAATTTTAAATTAAAATATCATTTGTTCCATCTTAATCAGTCCTCTAATTTTATCAATAAATGAAAATAATCATAATTATTTTACCAACTCAAAACATTAATAAACACTAACAATAAAAATTAATTTTAAGATAGGTTGAAAGTATAGGAATGAGTCACATCATTAGAGAAACAATCCCTATCTTCTTAAACTAATAATAATTATTTTTGTATTTTAGAACAAAACTAATAATAATACCTAAAAGAAGGGTCCGAATGACAGCAATAAATGAAAACAAGCAATGTTCTTTCGTTATCTTAGAAGTAGGACGGTAACTAGACCTCCTACTCCGTTTCGATATCTAATCAATATTCTTTGAGAATATTTGTTAAAACCATCGCCTTAAATGATAATAAATAATTATTTACCAAATCAAATAAATTATAAAAAAAAATGAAAAGATCAATAAATGAATATAAGATATGCCTATAATAGAAGGAAAAATATGATACTTATATTTACACATAATAAAAGGTCAAATATCGTACCTATGATAAATCATAATGAAAGACTAAATATCTTCAATCATCGAAATATTTGCCTATAATAAAGAGTCAAATATGATACCTATGTAAACCATAATTTGGGATTAAATAACCTTCAGACATTGGCTCATCTACTCTCAAATCAAAATCTAGACCCACATACAGATTCCACTCACTTTCTCATGCATATCTAGCTTTTAAGCACTCACTTTATTATCCTTCAGCAAAGGTCTGATGCAAGCAAAACTAAAAGAGAGGATAAAAGTAACTTTCCATTTATAATTTCACCTTAAAATTTATAATAAATCTTTAATAAGAGACAGATAATGCTCAATTAATTGAATTTTACTTTTAATACTTCATAAGGAATTGATAAGACATCTAGCATCAATTGAGATTAGAAATTTAAATATAAAAAATGAAATAAAAAGCAGAAAGTTTGAGCACTTACGTCGTCCATAATTGCTTGGAGTGGGGTCTTTTTAATGGCAGAATGAAGAACGGAACCTCCACGAGCAAACCAGCTGGAATCTATATTCAATATCCAACACACCACATCGATTAATGGATATATATGTATATATATATGTAGTGGAAATGGCACATGACCCCACGTGTTTCGTCTCATTTACACACATTTTCCTTAACAAACCAATAATGCGACCTACCAATTCATGAGGTTCTTTCTTTTCTTATACAGCTTTTGTGGCTTTGGCAAACTAAGTAGGCACAACATTATCCTACAAACACTCTCAATACCACAAAATTTGGTCATTTTATAGATTCAAATGGCTCTATTTTTTCTGACAATTTTATTTACCCTATCAAAACTAGCCTTTTCTAGAATGATATTGATTATTAACACATGATGGGTTTTCTTCATTAATTACACATAATGGTAATCTACAACAATATGTCACGTATTATTAATTGCACATGATAAATTTCCAAAAATTCAAACAAAAAGTAAAGGTACCCACCAGTTTAGCTGGATTCATGAATCACATATATTAGTGATCAACATTTGCTTAATTTCGAGGCTGAATTTGAAATCTACCACAACCTGAAAAACTGAAATAGGACATTTTTATTTCAAGCTTCACTTATAAAATACTAACCTTGAGGAATTAAAACTTAAAACTTTAATATCAATCTACCACAAAAAATTCAAAGAAATTAATAAAATAAAATATGACTAGTCTGAAGGAAGTGATGGAACGTAAGCATAGCATCAATAACACAAAATAATTTAAAAACATGATAATGTACTAATGTTAATAATAGTGGGGAATCACATCAAAATCACCTTAAACAAATAAATAAACAAAGAAGTAGAATAAAAGGCAACTAAATTGTAGACTCAAAATACAAAAGGGGAAAAAGTGAATGTTAACCTAAAAGAATCAAAAACAGAAAAAAAGAAGGAAAAAAAAAAACTTGTAGGTCACTCTGAATCCAGCTAATTAGAGAGAAAAGGACAGAAAGGCTATTAATTAGTAGGGCAAATAAAATTTCGAAATAGGCTGAACGAACCAGGTTCTAAATGAGATGAAATTAAGAACTCAAATTTAAATATAACTTAATTTAATTAGTCAAAACATTGATACTATAGATCTAAACCAGTAATCAATATGTTGAATAGTATGCCATCTGAGTCGCCGTACCTTGGAGATATAAATATGGTTGTAACCACACTTCAACAGTGCAGGACCACTGTGCTCTGGAAAAGAGAACTCTAAACTGCCATTGAAATTATTATATAAAATTGATATGAAACAACCTGAAGTCAACAAGGCACCAAACTGCAACTTAATGAAGAAAATTGTTGAAGAAATGAGTGTTAACCAGAATATATATAAGAGAAAATTACAAAAATGCCCTCCAGAATAGAACTGGAATTCAAACACCATGTTCTAAGTCTCAAGAAAATTCTTTTAAAAAATTTTGAAATATTTATAATATCGAAGATAATATTACCAACTTTAGACCAATGATAAAGTTTAAGAGTACACAATAAATAAATAAACAGTTGAATGTGAGAAATTTTACCAAGCTTGGAATAACGTGGAAGGCCAAAAGCTCGTGACCCGCATTGTTCCCAACGTTGAAATAAAGTTTTCATTTAGTTGATGGAGAGGTATCATTAAAGTAGAGGGTCACATTTGTCATTTAGAAAATAGCGGCAGCATTGCACCGCTGCCTTTTGCAGCCAAAAGTAAATAATAATGCACTGCGTTGTTCCTCTTCCAATAGTGCACAGCTGCTTGTTTGATTGCCATGGGAGAGAAACTTCTCAGTTGTTCTTCCCACGTAACTAGTTCTTTACTTGTTTCGCCTCATCTTTTCCATCTCCATCTCCACAACTTAATTTTTATAGGCCCCCATCTTTTTTGCTGCTTTCAGGATTTTCCAATATTGCAGCGACCAGGGAGGAGAGAATTCATTCCGGTTCAAACCAGAACAATTCATCAGACCGACTTCAAGTTCTAAACAACATTTTATATTCGATAAGAGCCTGGTGGGTTTTCTGGTCAGGAACTAGAGATTCATTCTTGGAGATCTGAAACAGAATTTGAAAAATGTTCAAATCATGGAGCAAGAAGCAGAAGATCAAAGCTGTATTCAAACTGCAATTCCAGGCAACAGAGGTAATGATTTTGAAAGCCGGAGTAGTTAACTACATTTTTCTCTGCTCAACATGAAATGTCGGTAATTTTTACTGGTTTTCTAAAAATATTAATGTTAATTAGTTATAAATTTTCAGTAATTTTAACGAGATAATACGCTGATGGCTAGAGAATATTTGAAGTATGAACTTTTCAACTCAATTTTGTAAGGGACAGGATCTTACCCAGTACTATTGGCTTTCTTTCAGGTGCCGAAGTTGAAGAAACCGGCTTTGATGATATCTTTGGTGCCAGATGATGTGGGAAAGGCAACAGTGAAGCTTGAGAAAGCTGCTATTCAAGATGGAACTTGTGTGTGGGAGAATCCTGTTTATGAAACAGTCAAGCTTGTTAGGGAGATAAAAACAGGAAAAATCAATGAGAAAATTTACCATTTTGTGGTTTCAACGGTAAGTTATAGCAACACAGACTTCCAAATACTCTCCAGTTCGTAATTAGCCATCTGGTGGAGCAAGTTGTAAAATTTTGTGTGTATGTGCAGGGATCATCAAAATCTGGCTTTGTGGGCGAAGCTTCAATTGATTTTGCAGATTTTGAAGCAGAAACTGAACCCATGACAGTTTCCCTTCCTCTCAAGTTCGCAAACTCAGGCGCCATACTACACGTTGGTTCTCTATATTTCTCATCCACTTGAGCTGTACCTAGAAATTTGAAGTCTAGTAAAACTGCCATGACATTATTTCTTATATATGTGGATGTTCCTGATATTCATGGAAATTGGCTAAACAGGTGACTATTCATAAAATGGAGGGAGATAATGATCAAAGGTAATAACAAGAACCTGAGATTTATTTTAATTTACAGTGTGACCCTTTCTTTTTTTGCTTGTTTTCCATCTGCCTCACCTTATGAAGTTTTAGCTTCCAATTAACAGAGATTATGAAGAGAACGGCGCTGCGACATGTCAACATGAGAACCTCTTTAATAGCCAGCTTAGCTTTTCAAGTACAGAAGGAAGCCATTATCCCACAGAAGTAAGGTCTCATTCCAATTTTCCAATTCATTTCGAATTTAGGAACAGCACCTGCGAAACATATTTTAATGAAGAATAGTTTCCTTGAAGTTAAAACCAATTTGATTGAAGAAAGATTTCCCTTTCATTTTCAATAAAAGAAACTTCGTAATCACTAAGGATAGGTTGACCCATTCGCTTGATCCAAATTATATTGGTGGGATTGCAGAATGGCGACTTAAGTACTTTACGTGAGGATGCAGAACAAAATGGCAACTCTAAAGTATCCCTTGGCTGTAATTCTGCTAAATTTGCATCATACTGTAACGATGAAAGAAATACTCAACAGGATTCCAGATCAAAGAAGAATGCTATCCAAAGTCCTACCCTTTTGTCATCCCTTAGACAGAACTCCATGACTAAGGCAACGGTCGACACCACTAGGGTGAAAAACCAAGCGCATAAGCGATCAAATACGGAATGGTCACTGGGTTCAGTTTCAGACGGAAGTTTTGGTGACTCGGGAAATAGTATTGAAGAACACAATTCAAGAGAAAAGATGCACCAGCTTCCTAATAGTTCGATTGAAAGGGTAAGAAATGAGAATGTTATGCTCATGAGAAAGCTTGAAGTAACAGAAATGGAGTTGCAGTCTCTTCGTAAACAGGTCACGAAGGAGACCATACAAGGGCAGAATCTATCACGACAAATCATTTGCCTTACTGAGGAAAGGGATGCACTCAAAACAGAGTGCAAACAACTCAAGTTCTTGAAGAAATGTAATGATGAGGCAGAGGACTCCAAAATTTTGAAGTCTGAGATAAAGGAAGCAGGGATTCAGCTGGCCGCAATACGGGAAGAGCTTAAGCAGGAAAAGGAATTACGAACTGATCAACAGCTTCAACTGCAGAAAACACAAGACTCCAACTCTGATTTAGTTCTTGCAGTGAGAGATCTAGAAGAAATGGTTGAGCTAAAGAATCGGGTAATCGCTGATCTTTCAAGAACTTTAGAATCCTTGGAGAGTGATGGAAAAGTTGCTTATGATTGTAAAAGGAATAATGATGAGAACCCAAAATTGCCAAAAGAATTGATTCAAGGGTATGTCAATGTCAAGGAAGTGGACATGTTGAAACAGGAGATCAAAGATTTGAATGGAGAAATAGAAATGCACTTGAAGAATATAGAAGAGCTAGAGATGCATTTAGAACAACTCATGTCAGACAATGAAATCCTCAAGCAAGAAAACGAAGACATTTCTGCAAAGTTCGAGAGAAACAAGGCAGAATATCTCAGAAAACAGAATGAATACTCGGGTTCATTGGCTGTTATAAAAGAAATGGAATCTGAAATAGAAAGGCTAGAAGAAAAACTCCGAATACAAACTGAGGAGTTTTCAGAATCTTTGATCTCAATCAATGAGCTTGAAGGTCAGATCAAGCGCATGGAGAGAGAATTGGAAAAGCAGACTCGTGAGTATCATGACGAATTCAATGCCATCAAACATGCCAATGTTCAGTTGGAAAAAATGGCTATAGAAGCAAAAGAAGCATTGAGTAAGACAAGATGGAAAAATGCCATAAAAGCCGTCATTCTTCAGGAGAGAAGTAAAAAGTTTTCAATGGAAATGGCTTCCAAGTTAAATGATAATGAAAAGAGAATCATTAAATCTGCCAAAGAAATAAATGAATTGCGTCTGCAGAAAGTAGTATTGAAAGAAATGCTCCAGAAATCTAATGAAGATTCAGAAAAGAGCGAAGAAAAACTGCATGACCTTTCCTTCCAGCTAGAGTTAAAAACAAATGAAATGCATCACATGTCAATGGAGCTAGATAATAAGTCCAGACAACTTGAAGATGGGAAAGAGCATGAAGACTATCAGGAGGAGGAAATCCAAATGCTGAAATCAAATATAGAAACGCTAAATGCAGAAAAGCACATTGCAAAGCAGGCAGAGAGCGAACAACCTGAATGTTCACTTTCTGAAATGGAAGCATCGGAAGAAAGAAGGAAAGAAAGGGAAATTTTAGAAAAAGAGATCGCTTTTTCGAAGAGAGAAGCAAAAAAGGTACAGGAAGAGCTGATTAGAATGAAAGCTTCCAAACACGAGCAAGATAGATTAATTGACAATCTACTAGCTGAAATGGAAAGCCTTAGAGCACAAATTAATGAGCTAAGGAAGAAATCACGGACAGAAAATTCTGAGAAAGAAAACCTAAGAAAACAGGTACTCGAACTAGAACTACAAAATAAGGTGAGAACTTCTTGCATGTCAAACATCAATTTGGAAGTTTAAGAAATTTCAGCTTTGAATCTAACCTCAGCATCAATTCATAATGTATCTCAAACGCTTCCTCATACCATGCAGGAGCTTTCAGCTTCAGAAGAGGTGATGCAATCGCTTCAGGTAGTTCTCGAGCCCTTTAACTAAATATCCAGATACAAAATATTACACGCAATTCCGAAAATTTGATGTTTTCCAAGTCCTCCCCACCATTTATATTGTTAGAAAGTACTAAATTTTTATGATTAAACATATATTCAAAAATGAAATAGAAGAAAGAAAGATAATATCTACTGTCAATGTATGACAGCAAGCAATGCAGCTGCAAGGAACTAGTATTGTAGTAAATACAAAGTTATCTTTGTTCTAGAGAAGAATCATCTCGACAGTCACTTAGAGAACAAGATTATGTTCAGAATTAATCTAAATGGTCAAAGCTTTGCTGCAAGTACAAAACTACATTAACTTAGCTACCTAACGTATTTTTTTCTACTGAGAAGCATTATAAGTAATCATACACATTCAGAATACCTCATCAGGGTGACTCCTGTCTCCATCTACATAAATTCCAGATCATCATTATTGGAGCATGTGAAAAGACTGTCAAGAACTTAGTGTTTATCATAGTTCTCTGCGAAAAATGAGATATCAAAAATAAAAAATGAAATGAATTTGCCTCATACTAGGCTAATATTGCCCTTGTTAGACCTTGTTTTTTGTTTCATTTATATAACTTCATCCATGTTCTAGACTTCTAACACATCAGATGTCTTTGAAATGTAGGACATCAACCGTTCTGGTATCACCAAAACAAGTAATAAAGAAGAGAGACTGAACCAGAACAGTGTTCATGGAGAACTTTGTGGAAGGTATAAGCAGTCAATCAGTTCAACAATCAGAAGCATGTTCATTTCCATAATTTACTTGTATTTTATGGGTCTTATAATGGCTCTTTACTTAAATATACAAATGTTAATTCTGATTTGCAGGAAAGTGGACTCAAACTCATCAAATAAGGAACTGAAATTGTCAACTTCTGGTAAAAGTAACGATGACTGTTGTATTGACCTCCTTACTGAAATGTCCTCTCTTAAGGAGAAGAACCAAACTATGGAAAGAGAACTGAAAGAAATCGAAGAGAGATATTCAGAAATAAGTCTCAAATTTGCAGAAGTAGAAGGCGAAAGACAACAACTTGTAATGACTGTGCGAAACCTTAAACATAGTAAAAGAAATTAGTATTTTTACCTGGTTCTTCACCAAGTCATTGAGAATATTCAGCAGGAAAATATCGAGTGCTTAAACAGAAAACTTGGTATGGTATAACCAATTTATTGAAAATTAGAAAATTATAGATATTTGCTGTCAGAAGATTATTCCCTCATTTTTTTTGTTTCTTTCTACTGGGAGACGAGCCCATTTTTCTTACCCTCAAGCTTCAGCACCAAACTACAAGTCGGGGGCCTTATATTCCAGATATTTTTTCCTATAGAGTTAGCTTCCAATAAGGTCGCAATGTGCTGGGTTCAGAAAGTTAATGGTAACAATTAGGTAAAAAGGGTATAATCATAGCCAACACTTTTATGTTCTTGAGCCTCCATTCTAGGTAAGGGTTTTATTAAGATGATCAAAATCATGATTCCATCTATGAAGAGAAAAACTGTCAGTTTTAAGTTATCCACTCATCTCGACACGGTAACAAATTCAATGCAGTGCATTTTGCTAGAATCATGAATAAGGAGCTCCCAAACATGGATAGAAATCTTCCTTTCATGATTAAATTAGGTAAAGTGGTATTTGAGTATGAACATAATAAAATTCTAAGCTTGTCAAGATACAGGATGTTTGAACACATCTGAGGATGATCCCAGTGCTTTGGTTCTCTGTCAAGGTCACGACAGCGCAGTTGCAGTGTGGCACCTCGCAAGTTACAGATTTTGAAATAACAGAACATAAATTACCAAAACATCACTCTCAAAATTGTTATATTAACACTTCCTACAAATTAACACTGTGTTCTAGTCACAAATGTATGGGTGAAAATAGATCCAATCGAGACAACTCCAAATTTGTATGTTTGGAAACTAAAACTATTGGCATTACTTGAAGAAATGGTTCTATTTAATTTTTCTGGCGTAAGGCTTCTAAAGTAAAAGAGCATATTCTTTACGCAAAAGAGAAATAACAGTTTCATCTACAGGCTAGTATCAGTTTGCCACTAATCACGAGTAGTTGATGGGACAATGTCTATATGAGAATTCTATGCTTCTAATTTACTATTAAAAGATATGGTTGTGGATCCAATAAAGCTTACCAATGAAATATCAAGGATATATCTTTGCGATTAAGCTGCAGTATCACCATTTCAGTTTGTATTAGAATAGTTCGCTGATGAAAATCTGCTCATTAAGCATAATTACTGTATTTTATAACTTCAAAGATACAAAATTAAAGAAGAAAGAGAGAAATAATGACCTGTTAGTTTGCCAGCATATGCAGTGTTCCATTGGATCATTTATTACCAAGTTTCTGTGAGTTTTTTCCTAAACCATAATTGTCATTGCTCCAGACCAGCTTAGTTTGGCTCCCATTGCCATCAGTTGCATAAGATAAAGTCTGAAAGTGATTTCAGAGAAATTGTTTTAAAGAATGTAGAAAACTGTCTAACATGTGGTATCAGAAATAAGCACATATAAACCTGTCTTGATCTTTTATCGATAGGCGTCCCTGAAGAAAGTTCACGAGTTGCAACTAATACATTCTTGGATGAGTTTGATGATTGTGTTGATGGTTTGTGTCTCTTTTGTTCCGGTTTCTTCCGCAGAGTGCTTCCCCCTTGGTACTTGAAAAATTCAAGAATGGAGGGACTTCTTCTTTTAACAGTTTTTTTTACATTACCCAAATTCTCAGGAAAAGGTGAAGATGAGCCACGTGGAACCGAATGCTGACGATTTCTGCTCTTTTCCCTAATTCGGTTAAGAAATTCCATAGTCCAAGGTGAACTTTCTTGAAGATGTTTTGAACGGAGAGCAACGGACAATGGGGTTACATCAGAATGTGATGTATCCTTCTCTGAAAGTGAAAACGATACTTTTGAATCTCTTAAGGGATTTTGTATTAAACCCTCATCTAAATGATCATCCTTGTACCTAAGAGGCATAATACTGGGTTCGAAACTAGGATCTGGAAACTGATTGTCTAATCCTCGTGAACTCTGTCCATGCAAATTGATAGAACTCCAAAAATCTGAACTCGAGTTGTTCCCAACATCAACTGCACAGAAAGGGTGATCGCTTTGTCCATAAGACAATCTTCTTTGAATTTTAGACTTTCTTGATGAATCTGTTTCATTATCAAGCATCGAAGGCAAGAAATTCATAGGAGCCATAGTTGCAAAGTGATCTTTTAATACAGGGTTATCAATCAGGTTGTCTACTTCAGCTATAAGCTCCTCATGGTGATTCTCAGACTTATTCATATTATGAAAGTTGTGTATTTTCTTTTTACTTCGGTCTAAACCCTGATTTTGGACAAATGATGAACAACGTCTTCTAATCTCATCGGATATTTCAGGAGCTGTGGAGATCCAACAATCACGTGGCTTGCAGACCCTGGTAGGATCCATCGATACAGTTGCATCAAAAGACGCTAGATTATGGTTTTGATCAAAGAAATTATTTACAGATGAAGATAAACCTTTGAGATCACAAAATATTTCGGGATCTTCAAACAGTTGAGAACCAAATGACTTGGATGCTACTAAAGTTTCTGCAGTGCCAGCAGTGAACGGATTCAGCGTATTGGAATACAAGCAATCCGTATTTTTCTCAATGCATTGGGTACCACCAGTGAAGTTTCTTCTCTTCCTTTCAGAATTACCATTAAAGTGACACTTTTCTGAATCAGCACCAGAAGATAGCGAAGAGGAGCAGTCTGTCATCACAGATTTTGAATCCTCCCGCTCACCATATTTGCACAGAGCACTAAATAGAGAGATACAGTCATCGGGAATACTATATTTTCTAATTGCATGGAGCCTGCGCTCATGTGGCCACTCTAGAAAGTCAGCAAGAAGGCTTTCTGAAGAAAGTATCCCGTGAGCTATCAAAGGATTAATTGAAGGGAAACTCGTAAGAAATGATTCAGCAAGAGTTTCTGATTCAGACATCTTGGGGTATATGCGCCTGGTCATCAACTTAGAAACATTTTCAATGCAGCCTAGGATAATTTCATCCGTCAACTCAGATGAATAGGAACAGAAGAGCTGAAAATCAATTTCTAAACTTGCTGCTGCAGCATAAAGTCCATCTGATGATTCCATTACGATGGATAGGGAACTGATTTCTCCCTCGAAAACCTGAAAAGAAATCTACTATTTGTATCAAAAGAGAGAATAACCAATATCAGGGATTATGCACCTGATTATAATATACCAACAACAAGCAACAATCAGTCTACTGAGGTCTTGTAACCAACTAATTCCTGCACTCTGATGAAAAAATTTCCATGTCCATGCAAGCAAATGCAGGAATTGAAGTATAGCTAATAATGAATAAGATTTTAGAGACAATGACAGAATCCTGCATACACTGTAATCACTTGACTAAAGTTTCCTTTTCATTTGTGCACAAATTTGGACATCACTTTTCAAAACTGAAATATAAAAAATGAGTGAATACGAACCAAGTCTTGAATGATTAAAGAAAATGAAAAACATTATACAAGCCTGTTTGCAAACTCCAGGAAATTAAGGACTCTTATTTTCCACGAACAAACCAAGTGCCAGTGTTTATAGAGAAGGGACAAGTTCACAGAAGCAGACTTTTTATATCTAAAATATTGCTTCAATCAAATTCCCTAGATTCTGATAAACCTCTTCCCAAGACATGAAAACAAGCCGTTAAATTCCCTCGTTTGGTTCGACCTCCTGTGCAATTTAGCAAATTTTTCTATTTTTGGCACCTTCCTAACTCATAACTAAAACAATGATTTTTCATGTTAAGCATCAGAGCTATAGCCTGTAGCTGGAAGGTAGATCATGTCTCTAACTTTCAACAAAAATTAAAGATAACTCTGGCATCTTCAAGAAGAATACAAGAGTATGCTAAAGTAGTTCAGTTATAAAATTATGACAATAATGTCAAATGCATAGGAAGGGAGTCGAAAAGGGAAGAAACGAAGGTAATGGGAAATAGTCTCTTCATAAATAATAAGAATAAACAGTCTTCATAGAGTAGAAAAATTACCAGGACGCAACCACGAAAAGCGAAACTTAGAGAGGTCAAAACATCTGTTGCAATATTTTCTATGCATAAATTCAAGCACAAAGAAGCTTCATTTGAAGTACTGCCTTTCCTGTCAATATTTGTGCAGTCATACCAAAATAAGCAAATTCCAGGAGCAATTATTAGATCCACAGGCAAACACAGATCTCGTTCCACAACTTGCACTCCTTCTTTCTCCAATGCAAGAATTCTTTGATAGGAACTTCTTCTGCATACAATCATTTCCTTTTCAAATTTTTGAGTGTTCACAATAATAATTGCCTCAGGAAAGGACACAAGGTCAGTATGTTGTGATTTATCTGAGACTGGTACTACCGGTGCTCGCAGAGGCACTCTGCGATTCTCTGCTTCTATTGTTTTCTTCGAAGAGGCCAATATATACTTTTCCTCAACAGGTAAAAAGTTCAACAATTTCTCCAACATCATGGTCTGATTCTCCACCAACGACTTCTCTTCCTAAGAACAGATACAGAAAGAATTAATCAATTGTAAATTTAAGGATAGGTATGGTAACATATTTTTCCAATTCAATAAAAGCATGTAATCCTATAATAATCATTGGCATTACTTAATAGCAATATATCCGCAAACATGAATTAGGAACAAACTTACGATTGTCAGTTCATTATGTTGAGGAAAATCAACACCTTCACAAAATGCTTTGCAATTGCCACACTTATCCAGTTCCAACATTATGAAGTGTAGATGAGGCATGTCGATTAAATTTGAGAAGTAAGCGGAGATCTGAGAAGAACCATTCAGACCTCCATATTCCAAGACAATGCTAAATTTATTGAATGGAAAACTCCCAGATATGTACCTTGAAATTGGGGAAGAACAAACATTTTCAGTTCTTCCAAGCACATTATTGAATTTAGAATGTGCTATAATAATAATTGAGAACTCGACGCAAAGTCAAAACGCAGAAATTGGATGAAAAAATATTCTGAAAGTTGCAATACCAGGATTATCGCATTTGGATTCCATACGTTCTGATTTCGATTTAATTTTTACTCATACAAGAAGCATGGAACACCATGTCACAATTCACAATTGTTAAAAAATGAAAATTTACCTCAACACTTG